GAGTGTACTTCCATATCACAACTAGTGAGCAGTAGGACTTTGAGAAAGTTACCCAATAGGCCTCGGGATTCTCATTTATAAAATGGGTATGATATGCCTGCCTTATCTATCTTGGGAACTTAAGTAAGATTAAAATGAACTAATGAACTTCAAATGTTTTATAAACTGAAAATGCTATACGAATGTGAAATTGATCCTATATTTCAATAGTCCCAACAGTATCACTGCATTGTTATGTTAGGTGGAATAAAAGGACAATATTTAACTGTTTTGACTCTACAATAATGTCAATTTAGTTGTGTTCAGCTGTATTTTATAAAATAGGGATATGCATACTGTAGAAAATTTTCTGTTAAATTAAGCTTTGAAGGCCAGGTGCTCACGCCTGTAATCCCAGCACTTTGGGAGGCCAAGGTGGGCAGATCACTTGCGCTCAGGAGTTTGAGACCACCCTGAGCAACATGGTGAAATCCCATCTCTACAAAAATATATATATATAAATCAGCCATAATCCCATCTACTTGAGAGGCTGAGGTGGGAGGATCACTTGACTCCAGAGACAGAGCTTGGTTACAGTAAGCAGAATCATGTCTCTGCACTCCAGCCTGGCTGACAGAGTGAGACCCTGTTTCACCCAAAAAAAAAACAAGCTTTGACTTTTAGGGTGATAAACTTTAGTAATCAGGAGAGTTATGTTATATATATTACATTCCTTAATATTGGAGAACTAAGGAATTATGTATTTTCTTTAAAAGAGCTCACTGGATATTTTTTTAAAAAATAAAAGAGCTATATTTTCATTTACAATTTTTTTCTTTTCAGAACTACAGTTCCTGAGGAAGAACTAAATCCAAAGATACTAGCTTTGCAGAATGCTCAGAGAAAGCGAAAAATGGAACATGATGGTTCACTTTTTCAAGCAGTAGGAATTGTAAGTATGAGAGTAGTAGGTTTTGCTTTTCTAGCTAATGTGCTATTTCTGTGTGTGTGTGTGTGTGTGTGTGTGTGTGTGTGTTTCCACGTTTCTTCCAAATAGTAAAGTTATATTTTCAGAATTTATACATTGGGTTTTTTTTACTCTGTATACACTGGTTTTTAAAAATACAAATGTTTAATGCATACATTCTTGGTATAAAAATTCCGAACAATTCCAATGTATTTTGAATTAAAAAGTGAAGTTCTCCCCTTACTCCACCCTGAATATCACCACCAATCTCATTCTCTTCCCTTTAAGTTACTTTGCCTGATTAAAAGAACTGGTATTGGCCGGGCGCAGTGCCTCACACCTGTAATCCCAGCACTTTGGGAGGCCGAGGCGAGGATCACTTGAGGTCAGGAGTTTGAGACCAGCCTGGCCAACTTGGTGAAACCCTGTCTCTACTAAAAATACAACAATCAGCCAGGCGTGGTAATGCACAACTGTAATCCCAGCCACTCTGGAGGCTGAGGCAAGAGAATAGCTTGAACCTGGGAGGTGGAGGTTGCGGTGAGCCGAGATCAGGCCACCGCACTCCGCCTGGGTGAGAGAGTAAGAGTCCATCTCAAATTAAAAAAAGAACTGCTATGTTTTGGGGTAAGTCAATGGTGGTATAATACATTCTGATATTTTCAAACTAAATTAACTGGAAAGTATTTATAGACAGAATGGTCATAATGGATGGCAAATAACTTTATGGTCATAATGGATAGCAAATAACTTAAGAAAGTATTTAAAATAATTTAGGGTATTATTTTAGAAACTGCCTATATAATGTTATTAAATTTACACCGATTTCAAGGTTTTTGGTTGTTTAAAAAAAATTGAACAAACTAAACTTGAAATAACTTTACTGTTTATAGGGAACATTATTACAGCAGCCAGACGATCATGCAGCTACTACATCACTTTCTTGGAAACGTGTAAAAGGATGCAAATCTAGTGAACAGAATGGAATGGAGCAAAAGACAATTATTTTAATACCCTCTGGTTAGTTTATTCTTTCTGACCTTGAACATCACAAAGACAAAATACATGAAACATTTTTGTTTAGGAGCTTTAATCTAAGTGAGAAATGACTTTGGTTCCTTAGCAAGATTAAAAAGTAAAGTTGCGGCTGGGCACGGTGGCTCACGCCTATAATCCCAGCACTTTGGGAGGTCGAGGCGGGTGGATCATCTGAGGTCAGGAGTTGAAGACCAGCCTGGCTACCATGGTGAAACCCCGTCTCTACTAAAAATACAAAAATTAGCTGGGTGTGGTGGCGGGCGCCTGTAATCCCACCTATTTGGGAGGCTGAGGCATGAGAATCGCTTGAACCCGGGAGGCAGAGGTTGCAATGAGCCAAGATGGCATCACTGCATTCCAGCCTGCGTGACAAGAGTGAGACTCTGCCTCAAAAAAAAAAAAAAAAAGTAAAGTTGTATTTCATTTAATGGTCTTAATACAGAGATTAACATTTCAAGGTGGAGCTTTTCATTTTTCATAATTTT